CGGTGCGCGTATACACACACGTGTGGAACGTGTGTGTGCGCGTACATATCCTCTGCGAGTGCCTGCCTGTGTGAACGGCTATGTGCCTACACGCGCCTCGTGCGAGTCTCCCCGTACGGACGTCCTGTTGTGTGTGAGGATCTGTCTGCGCTGCGAGTGCCTGCGTGCGTGTGGCTCTATACACCTGGTGCGTGTGTCGGCCCTTCTCTCTCCATGTATACCCCCGGTGAGTGCGTGCCTGCATCTCTGTACCTACGCGTTCCTCGTGCGCTCTTCTGCTTACCCCCGTGTGTGTGTGTGTGTGCCTGCCCCCCGTGAGTGCGCGTGTCTGTGTGTATACCTTCTCCGAGCGTGCGTGTGTCTGTGCTTTCTGTGCGCGTCCCCTCTGAGCGCACGTGTCTGTGCGCGCCCCCGCTGTGTCTGCGTACAGGCCCCTGGTCGGCGCGCCTGCTCCTGCGTGCGTGCGCACACCCTCCGGCAGGGCGTGCCCCGTGCGCACACCCTGCGAGGAGCGTGTGCTACCCCTGCCCGGTGCGGGGCACGAGCCCCCTGGCGCTGCCCGTGTCCCTGCGGGGCGGCTGCGGGGCTGCCCCTGCGCCACCCGGGCCGACCCTGCGCTGCCCACGGGGGTCTGCTGCGAGAGCAGAGCCACGTCCCGCAGCCGTTCACGCCCCCCGCGCCACCCCACTGCCTGGGGCGCCTCAACCTCTGCATCTCCTCAGAGCCCGCACCTCACCTCACCTCGGCTTGGGGTCCCCCTGCCTCCCCCAGGGCTTCAATGCATTCACATCCCTGGCCTGGCTCATGATTTACACAGCAGTGTGGTGTGAGCCAGGTCCATTTTTGTTCCCTGAGGAAGGAATACATGGAAACCAGGGAATGAGACCCTCCCCCAAACCTGACCCCTCAGTTACAAGATGAGGAGGAAAGTCCTGCCAGGCCTGAACCCTTCCTCAGGATCAGCCTGAGGGTATTGTTAGAAGCATGTTTTCGTTTCAATTCTCCTCCCTGCTTTTTGTTTTGCTTTTGTTAAAACACAAACCCCCCTCTCACAAGGGAAACTGACCGCGGGGGGGACAATGAAACGGGCCCGGATTTGCAATATGGGGGCATGGAGTGTGAATTCCACTGTTACGTGAAGAGCTGCTGGATCCGGCCTCCTTCAGTACATTGACTTACCCTGCCCTCTTCAAGGGTCTCTCTCAGACTCCTGGGAACGCAGGCTATATATAAAGGGCTTGCCTCACCTAAATAATAATGCTGGCTACTAGTATTCATATAATTGAGGTGAATAATTGCTACTATTAATGGCATTAGAGCAGGGCTGGAGGCAGCCAAGGGCGAACTGGGCAGTTGCCTCGGGCCTGGACAGAAAGAGGGCCCAAAAACGGTGAAAATTATTATTATTATTATCATCATCATCATCATCTCGGGTGGGGGGGGGGGCGATACTAAAAGTTTGCCTGGGGCCACCAGGAGTCTAGTTATGGTATTGCATTAGAGTGGCAGAAAGGGGCCCTCACCAACTGCTATACTACACATTCTAGTATTACTATAAATTGTTATAAATTTACCTTAATATCACCCCTAGTATTATAATAGTGCAAAGAGGTTCTCTATTGTACTACAGTATTACTATTAGATATCGCCCTGCCTTGTGTATGTTTTGCCTTATTTCCCTTTCCTCCTTCCATGTCTCCTTTCCCTCTTTGCAGCTCCAGTACCTGGTATCTGTCTCCTTCCTGCCCCCTCTGCATCTTCTTCCTTATCTATGTACTGTACCGCCTTGCCAATCACACCAGCTTCACCACTGCCCCTCCTCATGTTTCCTCCTCTCTGCCTACATTTCTCTTGTGTGTGTTAACCATCATCCTGCCTCTGTCTCCTTCTTCTTTTCCCCCTTGCTTCCCTTTCCCATTTCTCCAAGAGCACTAAACTGTTCCCCAGCAGCTCTACAGTTGAAGTGGGCCTAAACCCAGATCTTGCTGCCGACTGTCCTCAGCCTCCATAAACCACTCCACCCCGCCCCAGATACATACTGTTCAGGCTGCCCTCTCTAACTTCCACTTTTTTCTGCCCCCCAGGTCCTAACTGTTGTCCAGCCAGACAGTTACTCACACAAGACTCTGCTAAATAGAAATTTAATTTATTTTAAGAGCATCCCCTGATGAAGAGCACGGTGATAGTAACAGCATTCCTCTAGAACAGAAGAGGCCCAGACAGAGACATTCCTTGTCAGGAGCACCTGAGAATTGGCATGAATTGTTCAAAATGTTATTGTATTGAAAATGTCTTTTGAACCCTGATGAAGCCTCTGAATCCAGCACAGGTCATTGTAAGGGAAAAACAACAGTGCTCTAACTAAGCCCCTCCCATAATTGCAAACTGCATCTACAGTACCAGAGCAGACAAGACCAGTGACACAGGAGTTAACTCCTAACAGCAATACTTCAACAACTAGATCATCACAGCCAAGGTTTTGTCTAGCCAGTTCTTAAAAACCTCCAAGGATGGAGAGTCCACTACCTCTCTGGGTAGCCTGTGCCAGTGCTTCACCACCCTCCTAGTGAGAGAGTTTTTCCAGATATCTAACCTGAACTTCCCTTATTGCATCTTGAGACCATGCTCCTCATTCTGTCATCTACCACCACTGAGAACAGTCTAGCTCCATCCTATTTGGAATCACCCTTCAGGTAGCTGAAAGCTGCTATTACATCCCCCTTCAGGCTTCTCTTCTGCAGACTAAATAAACCCAGTTTCCTCAGCCTCTCTTCACAAGTCATGTGCCCCAGCCCCTGAACCATTTTCGTTGCTCTCTTCTGGACTCTCTCCAATGTGTCCCTATCCTTTTTATAATGGGTGGCCCAAAACTGGACACAGTACTCCAGATGTGGCCTCACCAGTACAGAATAGAGCAGAATAATTACTTCCCTCAATCTGCTGGCAACACTCCTAATACAGCTCAGGATGCTGTTAGCCTTCTTG